GTCATTAGGAGACGAGGCTAATGATGCCACGCTGACATTTATTGACCCATCTCCCCAGGTAACCGGCGAGGCCCCGTTCCTCTTGCTTGTTTTGTGATGCAGCTCCTCTCTGAAGCAAACGAGTTAACGCGCAGTGGCATTTATGCGTGTGGTGCTTCCAGTAGATTGTTTTTTATGAGTGATAAATCCATTTAAGGAGCTACCAGGAGGAGATAAAATATTCCCCAAACAGGCTACTTCTTGGGCACATTTGCCTGCGGCTCGTCATGATAGTCTGAAGATGCAATGTGTTTTTCGCTATCATAAATATTCTGCAGCAAGTCAGGGAGGAATTTTAAGTATTGAGCCCATTGAAATGTAATATTTTCTATTACTTCCTGGCTCGCAGAGAAGCTGTTTAGTGTGTTTGAGTGGAGATGTGGTAAGATGTGAGGATAGTTTGCTTCAAAAGGAATAAAAGTGGAAGCAGGTGCTAGGGAGATTGTGAACGTGTGTCTGCCTTCATGCTTAGGAGATAGGTGGGCTGGGGATGATGTTTGTGGGTTAGCGTGTGCGCAAAAGGCCAAGCAGTTTCCCTTATGAGGTACGACCTCTGTGACCTTTGTGGTGCACGTTGGATCAAGTGGCTTTTATTAACTCACCCAAGTGGCCTCATCTGACCGTGTGACAGACGTTAACGTGGAGGGGAGGAGCAGGCCCGGAAGTGTCTCTACGCTTCACAGCGTAGAGGTTCTGCGATTCTTGCCGTACCTTTTCATCTCAGCAGATGGTGTGCGAAGAAATGAGGCCCCAGTGTGCAGACTGCACACATTAGTTTAGTAACATCTAAAGCCACACAGCAAAGGTGGAGAGAACGCTGGAGAGAAAGCCAGGAGGGGATACGGCGCCTCTGAGATCAGTGTGTGAGCTTTAACTTCCACACAGTTAAAGGCCTGTGTAATAACCGAGCCCAGATGGGAGGGGGGGAACCAACCTCTGCATGCTGATGCACAGGCGCTTTTTTTTTTTTTTGGGTCTCCATGGACCCACAGTCTCATATTGGATTAAACGAGCTGCAGCTGAGGTGGAAAAGTGATGAAGAACACCCGTGTTGTATTTAGAAGGAAAACAGTTAGAGAGTTTCACTTTTGATTGGCAGAAAATTTTCACCGTGAAATATATTCAAAGTTATTCAATTTTTTTTTTTTTTTGGAGAACAGGAAAGGCTCCTGGCAGAGAATAAATGATGAACGTTTAAAAAAAAAAAAAAATCCCTTAGCTGTTGATGCAGCCCAGGAGTGTGAGAGGTACTACTCCTTTTCATTATCTGTTCAAGACGCCACTGTTCCTCCTGCAGCATCGGTACCAGTCAACGCTCTGTGGTGACAATCTCCTCCATCTTTCTCTTCCTCCTCTTCCTCCCCTCTCTGTGTCACTCTCCTGCCAAATCCACAGGCAATTTTATGGACACAATGTTCCCTTTTTGTGATGTCTAATTGTCTCCAAGAATATTAATATTACATTGGTAATCCTTTTGACACATATATTACAAATGGGAAACCATTTCTTATAGAATGAAAAGGCAATTTACAGGAGGCAAATTGGATGATGGCAAGCAGATTTGTAATGCCACGGGTTAGGCAGCATAATGGATTTGGATGCCACCAGACTGTGAGATGAGTGTCATTAGCCTGTTGCCCTGGAGACACAGTCATAAAAATAACTTCTCCAAGGCAAATGGCTACGTTTTTATGTAATTCAATTTGAACTCTTGGCTCTGCGCTCGTCAGGAATAGCCTCACACACATTTACACATTTAGCCTGTCAACAATTTGGGCTGAGAAATTAACGCACTTTATGACAGTGCGTGTTTGGTTCATGCTTCTCCGGTTATTTTCTTTTGCACACAGGACACCTTGGCTGCATCGCCAGAAGCTACAACACCCACACCCATGTCCACGGTGTCTCAATATGCCTGCCAGAGACGGACCACCACAAAGAACAACAACAAGATTTTCACGGTGGGAAATTGCTTCTCCGGCCTCACTCTGAACCACGCTTTTACATGTTGAGCCACCAGAGGCTCGTCGCTCTTACTTTGCAATGTAAAAAGCTCCCCTAATCTGTTCTGCTCTAATTGGATGGCTGGCTCGCTTCACTCACGGGCGCTCTGACACAGCTCTCCCCCAAAATACATTAACCTGCAAATGAGTAGCATCTGCAGCTGCGGCACGTTCGAGGTGCAACAGCTGACATGCCTGCGAACCCTGGCACGGGGGCTGGCACGGACACGCCCAGAGGCGCTGCGTTACGCTGAAATGGGCAGTGGACGTGACACTCCTCACAAGCGATGATGGATCTATCCCTTCGCCATCTGGTGTGGGTGGGTGAAGGAGGGAAGGACAGAGGAGTGGGTAAATTGGGCTGCTGAAGAAGGGTTCGCTCAGGGTACCCAACAGAATGGGAAAGTAGTTAATTGGCGTAAGTGTTGATGAGTGTGAAAGGAAGAAACGATGTTGCATTAATAACAGCAATGTAGGTGTTGACAGCATCAGTCAGAAAACAGAAACAAGCCAGTGTTAGCAAACATTGCATTTACCAAACTTCGTCAGCTATTGTCGAGTGGAACGCATTTGGGGTTCTGACCCTTGCTCAGAGAAAACAGTTTAAAGAGCTTGAGTTGGGGCCTTCTAACTTCTGAGCAACATTGTCTGACATTTTGTAGGCTAAACAATGAATCTCACAAGTAATTTGCCATGTAATGAATGGCAGATTAATCCATAATGAAAATAGCAATTACTTCTAAATTTAATAGTGCTACTGTGACCTGAAGGAACTTAAAAGAAGAAATGGAGAATGTATGCAGAAACACATCATTATTTATTTCCTCTTTTCTTTTTTGGGGCTGTCACAGAAGGACTTTTTTGTAACTAAAACTGGATGTGAATATGAATTTGAAGTTTTAAAATGTGCAATATTACCGTAAACTGAGTGGCTATGTGTGTGTTTATGTGGGACTGCGGAGACCCACTGATGAGTTTCCGTAAGACGTATTAAGTACAGCTCGCAGAGGGCCTGTGGAGCATCTGTTTCATAATGACTCTTTACTTCCCACTGATGGCAAATGTACATAAAAAATGCACACACGTGTATGGATATTGGCCCGCATGTACGTTCATGCGTGTGCTGCAACCTTCTAACACACACGCACAAAAGCACATGTGTTTTCCCACATGGACGAGCAGTTACAGATGTGCATACCCACCTGCGTCTCACCTGGGGAGCGTTGCTGTTCAATTTCTTATCTCCCCAATTCTTTCCACAGCATTAACTGCATAATTAGCAATCCCACTCAATTTCCCTATCACAGGGATTAACTCATTATCTCTGCATAAGGAAGGCCACATCAAAGCAGAATTTCTGATTAAAGTAAAAGGTTGTTCTAGCTGTGGACCTGAGGAAAACCACAGGTACAACTCCCCATAGTTAAGAAATATTTTAACTATCCAAATTGTAGAGAAATAATAATACTAATAATAAAATTTTGCCTTGTCCCGTGACTGGAAACCAATCACCTGTAGTGACAGTGCTAAAGAGCAGCAAGCTATTGATCCACATTGGTGACGTAATCCTTGATTGGTCCTGCTGTCTGCCTGATTGCAAGGGGCAGTAATGATGTAACCTTGTGAATACCCATCTAATGAAAAAGCCTTTGAGTGTGTGAATTAGGGCTTTTGCCCTTGATACCAGTACTGACTATGAACCTGACTGTGGTAACAACTACACCAATCAGACATGACATAATGCCCACTGACAGATGACGTGAATAACACTGATTATCTCTTAATCACAGCACCTGTTAGTGGGTGGGATATATTAGGGAGAAAGCGAACATTTTGCCCTGAAAGTTGATTTGTTAGAAGCAGGAAAAATGGACAAGCATGAGGATTTGAGCAAGTCTGATGAGGGCCAAACTGTGATGGCTAGACGACTGGGTCAGAGCATCTCCAAATCTCCAGCTCTTGTGGGGTGTTCCCGGTCTGCAGTGGTCAGTATTAGAGCAGGGCAATATGGCCAAAAATATTTATCACGACATATATTTGAAAATTTGCGATAACTATATAACTGACGATATAATTGGTGCGAGACAAAATACAACTTTACTAGCGCAAAAAACCCCCATTCATTTATTTTCACTTAAACAAGCAGCTGTTTTTTATGTGCATTAAAGCTATATAAAAATGTAACAGTGCACATGCAAATTCCTTGCTGAAAGTTTAACCAAAAGGCATTTCAAGTAGAAATGGGCTGACATATCCTGAGCATAACCATGTATAATATCCACTTGTTGTGTTTGCAGGCAATTTGGGCATCTTCAGTACAATCTGCTACCGAAGCAATTACAGGGAGGTTTTTTTTGGTGAAACCTTGTTTGCATTTTTGTGACCAAATTTACCTAGTGACTGCAAGCAACCTTGGAGAGTAAGGTTGGTGGAGTAACGCTTATTTTTTTCCTATTTACTGGCTGTTACCAGGCAGTCACTAACCAGTCTCCATGCCTGTGTGACTGGTCACAAAGGGAAATTCCAATCTTCCAATCCTGAGAATCTGAGGAATTATGTTACTTAACATGTAACAATTTGCACAGTGGCATTTGTTGGTTGGCAGCCTTGGCATTAAATCGTCTGCCTTGCATTGATGGAAAGTGGCCAAATATGGATCAATGTTGCTCCTTCATGGACGTTTTCAATAACAAGTGCTTGAAAAGTTCACTCTTACTCATTAGCGAGTTAGATGTCAGCTGGCAGCACTGTGTTGTCAAATAGTCTCAGAGGAGAAGCTTGTATAAAGGCAAGGAGAATTTGTAACTCTAAAGCTTTTGTAATGTTCTTATAAAGGGATGTTAATATGCAGAACAGCTACAGAACACACTCACATTATTATCAGATGATAAAGCAGCCGGCATGGTGGTGCAGTGTTTTGCTCTGCAAGAAGGTCGCAGGAAGAAGGCCCTGGGTTCAAATCCAGTCTTGGGCCTTTCTATGTGGAATTAACTGTCAATTGACTGTCGTTGTGAATCCGAGTTATTGTGTTTGGTATATACACTGCTGTGTGCCATGGCTAGCCAGTGCCACCGTCACTCAGCAACATAATACCTTGTAACCAAAAATAAAAGTGAAAGACAGCCTCTACCAGTCAAGCATTTGCATGACTCTCAAAATCTGAGCTTCACTATGGCACTTTAGCAATTATTCAGAAGATTTGCATATTACATATAATATTTTAACATTATCTGACTTAATGTTTTTACCACTGTTCCCTTCAAGGTCATTTCCTTGCACAGGTCTAAACCAGTTCGAGTGCTGGTGCTATTTTCAGATCACTCCCTGGAGGTCAAGTTCTAAAGACTGTTACATACCTCCAACTTCTGCAAATATCAGTTTCAATCTGACCCGACCTTCGAGGATCGTAACTGGTGATAAGTGCCTGGTGTCCAGCTGTGACCCAGAGACCAAACAGCAGTAAAAGAGCCCAAAGTTACCAATCCTGAAGAAGGTTAGAAGGTTAGGATCGGGGGCATCACAGATTTCTGAACTTTAGATTCAAATTCTACAGTCGGACTGCCAAACTCAGTTTTACTGAATGTTCTGAAAGGCCTCAAGAGGAACACTGAGAACAGAGGACCTGAACTGTGGCATGCTGGGCTTGCTCATGGTACATATACTAGTTGCAGGATTGGATCCCTCACAGTTATCCTTCCCTAAGTTGACACAATGCAGGTGATAATGCCAAACGCGCCATTGGAAATGGTTATAAAGGGAATTCCTGGGAGTGATCTAAGGACTTTTTCCCACCTATAATTCATTTAATCTGCTCCAAAGGCGTTAATGAGTTTGTAAACTTGTAGCTTTTCCCCGTGGTTTGTTTTGTTTTGGGTTTTTTTTACACATGAATAAATCCAAGTGGCTCAAATTACATCACTAAAAGCCACGTAAGAGTGTTCAGCCTGCTTATTGGCCAGATGTGTCTGGAGCAGGAGCAACAAAAGTAAATATAAGAAGGTGGTGTGTAAGAAAACAGAGAGTTTGCATTCATTGTACGGCTAGCTGCCTTCCTGCACATCCCTTTGCACATCCATAGTACCTTCTTGCATTGAGAATACAAAGCAGACGCTGTTACGGGATGTTTTTTAGCTCAAACTTGTAACATACACCTGGTAGTTGGTTCGGATCGGGGTCGGATCACGTTCACAATAAAAACATATCTGCGTGGATGTTTAAAAATGTTTCTAAGACTTCTAAATTCCCCTCCTGATGCATACGTGCCCGAAAAGGGTTTTTCTTCCAAGCAGTCACTGAAAAACAGTCCGTACATTTTTCCTCACAAAGCATCCCAAAGTAGGTAAAATAAATCTTTCATTAAATTTGATGGATTTGGTTCATTAAGGAAGAAAAGACATATGATTATTTAACCTCCGTAGTGCAAACCAATTATAAAGTCAATTATTCTTTGGATATTTGGAAAATGTTCCAAAAGCCCAGAAATGCAATTTTGTGATATCATTACCCAGTGTAAAGTATAGAAATACAGAGTATGAGGAATATAGGGCGAGTGGGATTTTTTAACTCAAATGTACAATAGGCCACACAACACAAAAGTAAACCTAGATACTGGTAAATTGTGGCTTTGGTGGGCAGTTTTCATTTAACTGAATGCATACTGTCCTTATGTCTGCCGTCAGTTTGAGATATTAAATTAACTGTTGCAATCAAGCAGTAATCTGTAGGTATTAAAAAGATTAAGCACGGTGCTGAAAGCAGCAGGTGTTTGAGTGATCAGTTTAGTCTCCACAAGCAAGTCAGTCCACATAGACTACCCTGTTAAAATACCCAATTTTGCAGTGGAAACAAGTACTTCCCCAGCCTGGTACAGATGTGGTTTTGTCACAATAGGTATTTTAAAATTTTCACTTTTTTGTTGTTGTTTTAATTAGAAAGGTTTACCCTTCTTGCGATTGTGG